GTGCTTGAAAAGCAATATTTTTTCAGACCCAAATACAGCTTAGTTAGTAAACCTGATGAATTACAGTGGAATTCTGTGATACTGATATAGTAATTTATGATTTTTTGTTATTTCAAAATGCTTATATAAAACATAAAAAATTAATTTGGTTTACATACTCCATGTGTGAGATTTGACAAGGCTTAGCAAATTATGGCAAGTGAGTACAAATTTCGTAAGTAATAGAGACCAATGATTTCTATATTTCTTTTTTTACTGTTGTATGTTTTAAGAAGAATAACTGAAATTTAAAAATCTGTGTCTAAATAGTTATGATATGTATATATATATATGTAATGTATTACCACTGAAATGTGATTGTATTCTACAAAAGACTGGTCCACTAGAACAAAGGTAAGACTGCTGCACTTTGTATAGGTCAATAAAATAAAAATAATAAATATATATATAGATGTATAATATGATACATTAGATTTAAGCTATTTAGAATAAACATTTATCATTTTGTGTTATAATTTGTAGCCATTCTAGAAGAAAGAAAGCGTAATTTAGATCTATTTCATTATTTTTTATTGTGGTTACAAGGTTGGTCAAATCGACCAATAAGATACAGAAAATAACATATAAAATATAAAGTTATTTCTAATAAGATGTTTGATAATTATTTGGAGGTTATAGAGATCTTGGATGAGGAATTTGAGTTTTCTGATGCACAAAAGTATTTTTAATCTTAAATTAAAATTACTTTGCATGTCTGATATTGAACATTTGAAAAGAAGAAATGCATAAGCAAATAATTAGTTAAAAAACCTTAAATCTTAATTTTAAAATATTATATTTTGTGTATGAAAGCCTTGTAATGTTTACTGATAACCTGCAAAATTTTGTGAAGATGTGCTTACATTTTAACCCTTTTGTGACGGGCTCGGTATATTATACACGAGGTAATTATTCATACACTATCCTTTAATGCAGGAAGTGTGTCTTCACAAAATTTGGTAGACTTTTAGTAAAGATTGCAAGTCTTTCGTACACAGATTTTTTAATGAAATATTTTTATTATAACTTTGTTTGTGAACAAATCAAGTCTGTTTCATTACCAGTCCAAGTGTGAAGTGATTTTCATGTTATAACTAAAAATTATTGTTCATTCCAAAAATCTCATATATTATTTGTGTAATCTCTAAAACCTCATAAATACATTTCAAATGTATGTTTTTAGTAAAACTTTATTTTTTTTCTGTTATTTTCTCTACCCTAACTCTATGGGTTTGGTAGATTTGACTGATCTTGTAACCACCACAAAAAATTAGGAAATAAATATAAATTATGCCTCTTTTGTTCTAGAAAGACGACAGATTATAACACAAAAACACAAATGTTTAGTCTAAATAGCTTAAATCTCATAACATTATACACTTATATATATTTATTATTTTTATTATATTGACTTTCCAGCCATGCCTGGCTAATAATACAGAAGTTACAGTGACACGGTGCACGTTCACTCGTGATACCGTATCCAATAATATAAAACTGATCTTTAGTCTTTACAGAATGACCTATCTTGGCTGTGTTTTAGTGGACTAGTATTTTGTAAAATACAGTCACATTTCAATTACTATACATTATATATGTATATAGATTGTTGCTATTTAGAAATTAGCTCTTAAACTTATTTTCCTTCAAACATAGAACAGTAAATAAAGAAGTAAAGCATATAGGCACCTTGGATTCAAATTTTTTATCCGAGCAACATTATCAGACAAGTGGTATCTGTAACAGATTTTCGTTAATATTCATTTCTTTCCTTCTGTTGCCTCAGTCATAAATTTCACATTTTTAAATGATGCTTTTTATCTCGTGCATCTTCTTTTTTAATATCACAGGGAACCTTATACTTGTTTTCCTTAAGTCAACTACTGGATGTTGTGTCAGTTTTCATGTTTAAGTAAAGTCTATTTTCTCTTTGGCTTTATCACTTTGTAGCTCAGCAATGCCTCCAATAGACATGCTTGCACTATTGATGGGAACATTTATTCTTTATGTTTATAAGATCCTTAAATGAAACATCTTTTAAGTTGGACGTGAAAATCCTTTACGTCACTGTCAGTTTCCTAAAGTATTACTTCAGTTTGCCACAAGAGTTAGTGTCTTTATAGACAGAATAATGTGGTTCATGGAAGTTAAGTTTCTCCATTTAGCTTTTGCTAGTGATAATGTCCTCTTATGGGAAATGTTAGATGTCTGTTAAACTATGCAAAACACAAGCACGTTTTAAATTTTGTTGAAAGATTTGTTGGATATCTTTGTTCCTGTGGTTGTTTGTGATTACCATCGTGGAAGTTAAGTTTCTCCATTTAGCTTTTGCTAGTGATAATGTCCTCTTATGGGAAATGTTAGATGTCTGTTAAACTATGCAAAACACAAGCATGTTTTAAATTTTGTTGAAAGATTTGTTGGATATCTTTGTTCCTGTGGTTGTTTGTGATTACCATCGTGGAAGTTAAGTTTCTCCATTTAGCTTTAGCTAGCGATAATGTCCTCTCATGGGAAATGTTAGATGTCTGTTAAACTATGCAAAACACAAGCACGTTTTAAATTGGTGTTGAAAGATTTGTTGGATATCTTTGTTCCTGTGGTTGTTTGTGATTACCATCGTGGAAGTTAAGTTTCTCCATTTAGCTTTAGCTAGCGATAATG